TCGAGTGTCAACCATACTAACTTCAAGCAAGTCAAGATCCATTGTTGTGCTAACTTGGACTGTGCTAATCCAAGTGGAGCCGACCTCAGCTGTCCCGTCTTGTCTATTTGGCACGTCGACCCAGATGGACTCATAAATTATTATATCACATCACATATAAAAGATCAAAAAGATGATCTATTGATTCATGTGTACTTGACAGATTAATCATTGTCAGGGAACTATGAAGATGTAAAGGTATTCGTCCAATTTCACCTAACAAGAAGAAGCCAAGTGATGATATCATTTATTTCGCCAAACAATTTCTGACGCATGGCGTGTGCTACATTTTTACTGGAGGAAAACAAGTCATCCATTCATCTCCTATTTCTTCGCTTTTGTTGCCACCAATTCAATCAATCGTGTCACGTTCTCATACGAAGAACCTCCCTCCATCATCGCTTTCCGTGCCTTCTCTCCAAATTCTTCAGCTCTCCTTCTCCTCTCTTCTCCCTCCTGCCCTCCGTCCATCAACCTCTCCACGGCCTTAGCGACTTCCTCCCTCGAGATCCGCGCTCCCTCTTCCGGCGATTGCCTCATCTGCTGCATGGAGGTCTTGACGCCCACCGCGACTCCGATCCCGAGCACATCCACGATCAACTTCTCGTTGAGGAATTGCTCCGAGAAGAGCGGCCATGTCGCCATCGGTACGCCCGCACTCGCGCTCTCCAGCGTCGAGTTCCACCCGCAGTGCGTCAAGAAACCACCCACCGCCGGGTGCGACAGGATCATCACCTGCGGCGCCCACCCCCTGATCAAGAGACACTTTGAGTCACCTTCTTTCTCGAGCTTCTCTTGCAGCCATTGGTCTACTGCGCCCGGAAACCTTTCCAGGCCATTGATGACCCAGATGAATGGCCTGTTTGAGGCGAGCAGACCGTAGCCGAGCTCCATCAGTTGTGCGGGTGCGAAGCTGCCGACGCTACCGAAACTGACGTAGATCACGGACCGTGGCTTCATCGAATCAAGCCAATCTAAGCATTGGCTTGCATCCACTGACAGCTTCTTACCCCTATTAGCCATGTCCAACCTCCCTGATCTATAACACAGCGACACCGGTCCGATGGTGCACACCTTCTTCCCGGAGGCCGCCGCTAAGCGCTCGGCATATCCTGGCTCCAATTCGTCGACACTGTTGACGAGGACACCGTCCATGGCTAATTCGCCCTCTCGTACTTCATTGAACATCTCCGTGAAACGAGGCAGCAACTGGAATTGAAGTGGTAGTTGCTGCCTGGCGATCTCGAAATGAAATGGCAAGCCTGGGAGCACGAAGGGCTCGGTCGGGGACGACGCGCGCTCATGGGTCCTGTAACAGTAGAGGTTGTGCATGCAAAGAAGTGCGAAGGAGCCAAAGCCTTGGAAGATGAAGCATGGAATGCCGAGCTCGCGAGCAACCTCCGGAGTCCACGGGTAGCACGCGCCACAGATGATGCAGCTCGGGGCGATCGTCTGCTCTCGAAGCAGCTCCTCCAGGGGCTGCCGCAGAAACTTGGATCCGCGG